GAATAACAGTCTGCCTTCCCTGAGTGTCTTTTTTCCTTTTTTTTTTTTTTTTTTGGCAGTTCTTATTCTGGCAAATTTTTTGGAAGTTCTTCTGTAATTCTTGGAGTACACCTTCAGTAATGTGCTCAGTATGATTAAGAGACACATCTCGGCTAGACAATTTAATGCATGTCTGGTGGGAAAATCCAGTCTGGCTAGAAGTTATTGGCAAGCTATTGTCTATTACCAGAAAGTAAAAAGAGTGAATAAGAAATTTCCCAACAACTTACCCAGCCTCTTATTTTATTTAATTTTTTGAATGAACAGGGCAAAATAGGTTTTTCACATATAATCTAGGAGCCTCTTTTGTGTTTTGCCTTAGTATGTTATCTGACTTTCCAGAATAATGTTGGCTAGGAGTGGTGGAAGGGAAGCTCCTTAACTTATGCATCACCCTATGGGGAAACTTTTCCTCTAAAATGCTCCTAAGTCTTAGAAGACCCTTTTCGGCTCCCTGAAACCAAAGTATTGGGCTTCTGCACCAGCTGAACTCTTACACTGACACCACTTCAGGGGTTCATGCAGCTTGTGTCCCAGCTGAGTGATAGCAGAGAAGGAAAATCTGATCTCATCTTTGGTTAGGTGACACTGTAAATTCTGGTACTTCCCCAATCTACCTCATGTGTCCTGTCCAAGATTTTTTTTTTTTTTTTGCCAGTCCTGGGCCCTGAACTCTGGGCTTGGGTGCTGTCTGTAAGTTTCTTTTGCTCAAAGCTAGCACCCTACCAATTAAGCCACAGCACGACTTCCTGCTTTTTCTGTGTTTAATTGGAGATAAGAGTGTATTGGACTTTCCTGACTGGGCTGGCTTCGAACCGTGATCCTCAGATCTCAGCTTCCTGTGTAGCTAGGATTACAGGCGTGAGCCACTAGTGCCTGGCCCAAGATCATTTTATTACCTGCAGTTGATGGAAATTAGAATAGAGTGTGCTTTCAGTATCTTACCTGGAAACAGAATCCTTTGATACTTTTTAAAGTAAGATAATTTTTATTTCTGCCATTTTCTTTTAGCTCTTCAAGTTGTGAGGGAAAAGATTTTAATTCCGAGAAGAGTAAAAGACATGTTGGGAAAGAAATTTCCTTCCTCTTGCATTTCCTTTTGTGGATAAGCTTGTGGAGAAAGCGAGGCCTTCAATATTACATGTATTGAGATTAGAGTCAAATAGAACTTAAGAGGACTCAGACTAAAGAGTCACTTCCTGCCACATATGCCTAGAAAGATGAGATTATTTTTCCCTTGCTTTCAAATGAAATCTTTGGTGACTGCCATCCTGATGTGATCATCTCTGATTTAACAAAAAAATGCCAGTCATGTTATTCTAGCAAATCACAGCTATCCTTTGGCTATTATCTATATTCTTATAATAATCTAATGCCAGCTTGCTTTTCTTCTTTTCTTTTTAAATCGACAAAAAATACATCTGAGTATCATGTGCAATTTGCTCACGGTTGGTACTCCATCACTTGAACCACCACTTCAGCTTGGCTTTTTTTGTTAGTTTCATAAGAAAAACTATGCAGGAACTCTTGAGTTTCTGGTTTAGTCTCACACCTGTTTGAATGTATAACTCCCAAATTAACTGACTTGTTAACAATTCCCTTGTTTATTGCAGCATTATTCATAATAGCCAAACTATGGAAATGGGCTAGATGCCCTATAACTGATGAATGGATTAAGAAGAGTAGCATATATACAGAACAGTATTATTCTTCCATAAGAAGAATGAAATTACCACATTTGCAGGGCAATGGATAAAACTGGAAACCATTATGCTAAGTGAAATAAACCAAGTTCAGAAGAGTAAAGGTCAAATGTTCTCTTACAAGAGGACATTAGACCTAAAAGGTAAACATATACATAAGTACATATAAGTTCATACCTTGTACCTAGTAACAAGATGTCATAATGAAATTCCCTGAACACTTAATAATAGAAAGTGAGGGAAAGGTGAAAGAGAGAATAATCAATGGTGTTAATAAACCTGATTAATGTAATAGATGCATATGTGAAATACCATGTTGAAGCTTCTTTTAAACAATCAACATACATGGAAAAATAATGAATGACAAGAATGTAAAAAAAACTGAACAAGAGAGTTATTAGAGGGAGGGAGGGCTAACAGTAAGGGTTTGATATACAGATATGAAAATACAATAAAGAAATACATTTTTTAAAAAAAGGAACAGTTTGAAGTATCTCAAGGTACCTCAGGCATGATAAGCTTCCCACTGCTGAGTTGGAAATTCCAGTTTTGCAAAATGGAGCCCATGACTGTGAAATTCAGACCCATCATTTACTCAGTACTTGCCCTCTAGATGGTGAACAACTGGAGGCTGAACAACTGGTAGAGCCCAATTTCCCTGGAGTATTTCATCCTGATGATATCATAAAATGCTGGGAACAGATATAATAAAAAAGGAACAGGTATTATATTACATGAATGTGAAATAGATTTCTATTTATTTCATTATTTCTTGTTGTTGGTCATGGGGCCTGAACCCTGGGCCTGGCTGCTAACCATCCCTCAGCTCTTCAGCTTAAGGCTAGCTGAGCCATAACACCACTTCTGGCCTTTTCTGCTCATGTGGTGCTGAGGAATCAAACCCAGGGCCTCATGCATGCAAGGCAAGCGCTCTACCACTGAGCCACCTTCCCAGCCCTGAACTAGATTTCTTAATGTGTGGATTGTTTAGTTATTCCGTGTCCTAATAAATAAAATTGCTATTACATAAATGAAAGCCCCAACTCTGCAGTTCCTTTCCCTCAGACACTGGGTCTAGCCTACCACTTTACAATAGTAAGTGAACTTCTATCATCATTTCTCTTATGCTGCTTTTCTTTCCCATTCTATTTTTGCCAATACATTGTTTTTGAATAAAAGTCACATATAGAGCATATCCTTTTCTCTTGGAGTGCAATAAAAACATCTGAGAACTATGCAGACCTGTAACAAGGCATTACCGAATACATGAGAAGAAAAAGATGATCATAGAGAGAAATTACAGTGATTCTTACTGTAAAGTCCGTCATGACCATGACTTGTATTGTAACATAATTGTTTGACTAGCATAGGAAGTTTGGAATCTAATGAAATAAAATTCAGACAGGAAAATTCTTTCCGGATTAGAAGTCATTTTTCTGTGTTAACATGACTTTCTGCATAATTGGTTGCTAAATATGTAATATAACTTGACTGAATAGTTTCTCTGAGGGGTGTTATTTTATTTATTTACTATTACTATTATATTTTTACAGTCCTGGGGATTAAACCCAGGGCCCAGGACCTTGTACATTGGAGGTAAATCGCTACATTCCCAGTTCAGTTCCTTGAACTCTTTTTATTTTTAATTCATTGGTGAAAACATTTATAAAAGAAATTACCAAAGGACCTGAGTATATCTTCTTCTTAGACTAAACTGTTAGGGAAAGCAAGTGGACAAAAGAAGAGAAAGAAGGCAGAGACCTTAACAAACCACAAACCCTCCTAGGTGTTATATGAAGTCTCTCTGCAGCTAAAATGAAAGCTTGTTCTGGTCTGTTAAGATCTCTTCCTTCTTTCTCTCCTTTTCTACTCCATCTTTTCCTAACATTAGCAAATTAGGGCACTGACAAAATGCTGTTTGAAGTCACTCTAAAATATTTTATTTTTTCTGGAACTGTGGCATGAACTCAGGTCCATGAACCTGCTAGGACAGTGCTTTATCGCTTGAGTTGTGCTTCTGGCCCTTTTTGGCCCTAGTTACTTTTCAGATATAGTTTCTTTCTCAGAGACAGCCTCGGACTAAAGTGCCCTTACTTAGCTAGCATCATGTGTGCCATCACACATGGCTTTTTGCTGAGATGGAAGTCTCATTTATGTTGTTACATAAGAGTGAACTTGATATCGATACCAGACAAAGCTACGAGATCTCTGAACTGAGAGAGGGTCAGCATATGGCAAAGACAGTCTCTGTGTCTATTGAAGAGAAAAGAAGACCAGCAACTTAGATTTTTAGAAACTGGAAAACACCAGGAGAAATATCAACTCCATACTTCTTTTTAAAGGCATGGCTGATTATGACATTTTTAGGAGCTTTGTAAGGAGGAACTAGAAACTACATTAGAACAAACTAAAATATTTGAAATGAACTTCAAAATACATGCCTGAAACAACATTTTTAGGCAAATTTATGCAGTCTTCCACCTATAATATGGTTTTAGTCACTTAAATTTGTTTATGTTATCTTTCATAAGATTGGATTCCTGCTACTGTTATTACAGTTGTCTAGCTGAATGTGCACCCTCTATAGTTTTCAAGAAGGTTTCTGAAATGGAACAAATGGAACAAAATCAAGCAGATTGTGCTCAGAAAATGTTGATTTTAGCAGGGGTTAGCTCTTTTTGAGGTATTACAAGATGCAACTATAACAAATAGGTTCTATCTATATGCTGACAATTACCATATTAATATCATCAGTCAGACAAAGTTCTAGACTGTATACTCAATCTCCTCTGCAGTATCTTCACTAGGCTTTCTGATTTCCAATTATCTATAAATAATGTGTAATTATCCCCATAATTCTTCTACCCAGAGTTTTCTATATCAGCGTCTTAGCTGGCAATAATTCCATCTTTTTCTGGGTGTCTGTGGGTCACTTCTACTCTGAAGGCTGAGATATGAGGATCACAGTTCCAAGATAGCTTGAGCAGAAAAATCCTGGAGACTCAAGCTCCAATTAACTAGCAAAAAGGCTCTGCTAGAGCGAAAAAGCTGAATAAAAGGCTCTGAGTTCAAGCCCTTGTATTCACCAAATAAATAGCATTTTTTTGATCACTCAGGTCTCAAACTTTGAAACTCTTTATCTCTTTTCTTTGCTTCTCATGTTATAATCAATTCATCAGGAATCCCTGTTGGCTGTATATTTAGTATTTGGAATATTTCCAGAATTTAGTTACTTTCCCACATTTGTTCCATCATTACTGTAGTCCAGGTCACCGTCATCTGTCTCTAGACAATCACAGTCATCACTGAATTGTCTCTGTTTATTCTTGCCTCTTTGAATCAAATCTGATTGCTTGAAAATTTCAGCAGGGTAGTCAAGATAATTCTTTCATATGAAAGTCAGATCATGTTGATTTTAAGTTACAATTATTGTTTTTATACTTACATATGCTCAGTAAGGGCATCACTAATGGGCAATTTTGTTCATTTATGCATCATTAGCACATTAATGTATCATATTGCCTCTTCAATGACTGAACAAATAAATCCTCATGCTTAGAACAGAATACTGATACTTAGAAACAGCAACTTATTTTCTCAATATCTCTCACAAAGCAGAAGAATTTAGCCCAGGTCTTTGAATTCCATTCTGACATTACCATCGCTGTTTTCTTAAGGATGCAATACTGAATGGCAGAAGTCTTGAGTGACAGCTAAACTAAAATTGTCAAGCTGAATAAATCCAGTGATGTTTCCCTAATCTTTCCCAAATCTCTAATATCAGCAACATAAATGACTAAAATGTCATTTGTAGATGTCTGTAGGATGATCTGCTTCTCAGATTAGTGGCTGGCCAGAACTAATGGTCTTGTTAAGGGGACAAAGTTTCCCAGGACTGGTCATTAATTGGTGACATTTGTCTTGGTTGATGCCCTCATTGGTGATAAACACAAATGTAGTTGTTTGGTAAACTGTGTATGATATTTATTTACTTATTTATTCTATATATTTTACCAAATCAAACCCACATCCAAAGTAGTAATATGATTTCTTAGGTTTTATAATAAACATACATATAAAACTACATAGCTCCTTAGGTTTGAACTGTGTGTGTGTGTGTGTGTGTGTGTGTGTGTGTGTGTGTGCGTGTTTCAAATAATTGTGATTATTCTACCTAAAATTTAAAAAAAGTCTCAAAATACACATATTCCTAGTCCCAATTGCCCCTTAATTCCAGAGTTTTATTTTTTTTAAATGGTTCCATACAAGCCAGGCACCAGTGGCTCACACCTGTAACCCTCGCTTCTCAGGAGGCTGAGATCTGAGGACTGGAGTTCAAAGACAGCTAGAGCAGAAAAGTCCATGAGACTCTTATCTCCAATAAACTTCTTAGAAAACTGGAAGTGGCACTGTGGCTCAAGTGCCTTGAGCTGAAGAGCTGAGGGACAGCGCCCAGGCCCAGAGTTAAAGCCCAAGATTGACAAAAAAATAAAAAGGTCCCATATAGATCCTTCCCTCCCCTCTCTTCTCCAGCTTCCTTCCATCCTTTCCCCTCCCTCCCTCTTTTCTCTCTCAAAAACCTTCTTATCTGACCTCTTTGAAGATGCAGTTTACTCATGAGAAGCCTCACTTGGCTGTTGTTCGGAAAGGACCATTTTTTTCTTTCATTCCAGAAATTTCTGGTGATACTGTTGTTTGCTTTTATTTATTTATTTTTATTGTGAAAATACCGTATAGAGGGGTTACAATTACATGGGCAAGGCAATGAGTACATTTCTTATCAAGCATTGTCCTTTGTTTCCCCTTCCCATCCCTTCCCATCTCTGCCCCCGCCCTCCGCACACTCCCCTTCCATCCAAAGTTGTAAAGTTCGTTTTTTAGTATGTCTTGTCATCTAATTGTTGCAATGGGTCCACCTGTATCCCTATTTAAACAATTTGTTTTTTCCCTTCCCCTCCATAAAGTATACCAACATCAAATACAGTGAAAACAGGGGTTATACCGTTGGGGAGGGACATACAAAGCAACAAAGAAATCATCTTATAAATATGTTAGAAACAATCGCATTTGAATCCTTATCTTGGAGTTCGTTTTGCCTAACATCAACTATCTGACCGTTTCTTCTTGACTCAGACATATACTAGTAATTGCAAATAAGGGAAACCATGGGACCTATGTTTCTTTGTGCCTGGCTTACTTCACTTAATATAATTTTTTCCAAGTCTTTCCATTTCCTAACAAATGGGGCAATGTCATTCTTTCTGATGGAGGCATACAATTCCATTGTGTATATATGCCACATTTTCTTGATCCATTCATGTACTGAGGGGCATCTGCTAAGACTATTTTATTATCTGTGGGTCTTCCTTTGTTTCCTTATTGGTCTCATATGGTCACAGGCTTTTCAGGTGCTCACTGCATTGTAAACTTCTTGGGGTCATTGATCTTGTAATTTATATCCTTTAGTATTTACTTTTCATACATTAGTTTGGTTTAGAGAGCAAAAAGCTCTTTAACACTTGCTGTCTCTGTGGTCGATTATTTGGTAACAAACCACTGCAAAACTCAGTGGTTAAAATAACCATAATACTTTCTTCAAGGTTTGGAGATGAGGAGCTTGGGATAAGATTAACTTCATGGTGTATCTTTCATCCTCATGAGGCCGGTGGAAGCTGGGAGGTGGACTTTCAGGACTGTCAGGCACATTGGCACTTTTTGGTATTACCAAAAAAAGGGGAAATCTTCCCATCCTGTCCATGTGTCTTGGGTTTCATAAAGTGTTTCATCTTAGGGAAAAATCACACATCTTGCATATGATCATATTTCAACCCTGTTGGTCAGAGCAGTTACAAGGCCCTCCGGATTGAAAGGAGTAGAGAAATAGACTACAGTTCTTGATGAGAAAGGGTAAGGCCACATGACTAGAGCTCATACAGGATGGGAGATGGGAAAGTTATCTTTCAAAAGTAGAATCTCACTTATCCTGCAGAAGTTGTTTCATGACTTTTATTTTTTAATTGGTTTGATAAAATGTATCATATGTAAATAAAAAAGACCTATTTTAGAATGTCTCAAAATGAACATCATTGTAGACCAAGGAACCAGAAAGTCTGTAGACTTTTTTGTTTTGTGTGTAAAATTAAGTTCACATGTGGTTTCACTCTAATGAATATGAACTGATATGCAATGGTGTGAAGGTGAATGGTACTTTGATTAGCGCAGTACAATAAATCATTTCATTACACAAGCTTTTGTTGTACCAAATATAGCAATGACACCATGTTCTCTCTGGTACTGTCCAAGCATTTAGTTTCAAGTCCACTTTATTTGAACTATGTATAAAAAATGGAAAAGACCTAGAAAAGATATATTGAGTAAGTCTGGCCCAGTAACTAAATACGTTGTGTGGTGTGCAAGTGCAAGTGCATACAAATGTATCAAGTGAAATATGTTAGATTCAAGGGAAAATGCAAATAGAATAACTCTTTGGAAAGGCAGAGTCAAAGTTCAACAAAGTAATTATGAGGAAGCAGGTACTTGAAAGGGACAGAACAGACTCTAGAGCAAAAGGGTAAACAACTGAAGGGGAGAAGAGGAGGAGAACACAGTCAAGAATTCGTTGTGTATCCCACAACATTAAGAAGAGGGAGGGAAGGTGTGAGTAGGGAGTAGGGAGCAATGGGTAGAATGATGCAAAGGGTGACATTGATCAAGATGCACTGTCTTCATAAACTGCTTGGTTAAATGGCAACTCCTTTGTACAACTTGACTATAATAAAAAATATAATAAAGAAAATAAGTCATTCTGGACTATTCTAATTTATCTCTCCAGTTTCACGTGTTAGCAATATGTTCCATAGAGTTCTGGAAATCAGCTTACAAAACAAGCATGAAAATGAATTACATTTTAGTTATTTATTCACTTGGTTGTTATTATTAAAATTATATGTATCTATTATATATCTATAAGTATGTATTATGCTTAAAATTCTTCAAATATTATACTAGGTAAAAGATGATTTTTGATTAAAACAAAATGAATATTTAACTCTAGAAATTAAGGTCACAATTACAATTCCAAGTATGTGTTTGTCTGTGTACATGTTCAAATTTATATGTATAAAGATTTGGGTCAAGGTTATTACTGTAGATACACAGAGAACTAGACACTCTGTCTAAAAGTAAAATGTTGGTATTATATCCTTGGGTTTTATTCTACCTTCTAAATTGGAACGCCTTATTCATCTCTCTTCTCTTTTTCCCCTCAGACTTCAGCAATGGTGTCTAATACATTTTGAGTGTTCAACCATTTGCAGTGGAGTTTCTAAGTAAATGGAACTACTCTCCTCCCTGTTAAACTGATCTTGGTTTGACCACAGTGGAAATATGAAGTCAAACAGGCTACTTCAACTTCTCAGAACCTCGAGGAAAACCTGGGGGCCTGTTAGGTTTGTGTGTCCAATTGCATTTTGGGTCATTCTCACTGTGTCTGAATTTACCACCTTAAGCTTCTGTTACTTCCACTCATTTACCTGCATCTTAAGGAACTGCAGATATTTAAAATAACAAAAACAAACAAAAAACCTCTTTCAAAGGTCTTGGAATAAAATACCTTTCTCTCAAATGTTACTGAATATGGAATGAATCAGAAACATGTGTATTAAATTTCCCTGAAAATTTCTTTGGTTATAAAAATTAAGGGGAAAATGTTTGGCTAGATATATTGTAGGAGATGCCAAACCCAAATGGTTTGAAAAATGTGTGTGCTGGTTAGATAAACAAACAAATAAAATATATAAACAAACGTTAGTCCCTTCTTGCCTTGCAAAACCATACACACACACACACACACACACACACACACACACACACACACACACACACACACACACACACACACACACTGTATGATTCTCAGGTTAGTTTGAAGCCAGGTTTTATAAAGTGCTTTGAGAACTTTATAATTTCTTTGTCTTGTCCTGGGAGACAAAGAGTTATCTGGATAAATACTTCTGAGAATGCATATAAGCAATGTTGATGTTTCTCAACGTATTAAAAAATGGGTAGAATGAGGTAAGAGGTAAGATTTATTTCATTTCTGAATGTTAATGGAAAATTTCTTCTCAAATAATTCTGCCATAAGAGAAGCTGCTGATTTATCCAGCTTAAACTATTCATAAAATATTCAAAAATTAAACCTGGTACAAGTATAAGGAGAAAAATCTCTTTATCCTTGAAACAAACCTGAGAGTAATTGAGTAACCCAAATAGCTATTACTTGGTGAAAAGGAAGCAGGTGAGGATCAAAATAAACTTCATTACAATGATTGTTATCAGCCTTTTCATCTTCTACATCAAAACACATCAACATACTGCCTAAACAGGTATGCCCTTTTGCCCTGCACAATTTAAAGAGAATTACAAGGAAATGGTTTGTGGTAATTAGATAGACACTGGATATGTGTACCCCAGAATACTGCTCAGAACAGCCAAAGAAAGATGTTAAGAAAATTGATGGCTGTTACAAATATTTCTGTCAGTGACTCTCACACTTAAGGGTCAATTCTTAGAAAAGTGATTAAAAATAGTACTGTGAAAATTTCCTCCCTTGATCAGAGAGTTTTGCCTTCAAGGGCTAGGAATACATATTAAAATAAGATTCAGGTCGATTTTGATGAAGCTATGCAGGTAGCAAAAATGAAGACTCAGAAATCAGAAGAGAAAGTCTTTTGAAGTTGGCATTGGGAAGAAGAATTTGAGAACTTTTCTCTAAGACATGGGGAGAAAGGCACAACGGCTACTCTATTAATAGAGACGCTATTTTAAAATTTCAATGGTTAAGGCACTGGTGGTCCAGACCTGTAATCCTAGCTACTCAGGAGGCTGAGATCCGAGGATAGTGATTGCAAGCCAGCCTGAGCAGAAAAGCCTATGAAACCCTTATCTCCAACTAACCACTAAAAAATAAAAATTTCTGGAAGTGGAACTGTGGCTCCACGTGTTAGAGCACTAGCCTTAAGCAATAAAAGCTTAAGAATAGTGCTCAGTACCTGAGTTCAAACCCCAGGACTAGCGCGCGCACGTGCGTGCACGTGCACGCACACACACACACACACAAACACACACACACACACACACACACACACAAAATTGTAATGGCTTTCGAGATATATCTTTCTTCCAATACATATTTTCAGTGTCAAATATATTCTGAAAACATAAAAATTCCTTCATGTACTTTTTTTTCAGGGTGGGAGTACTTCAAATTTTTTGCTTGGCTTTTTCACTCAAGGTTGGGCACAGATCCACTGTTGGATTCCTACTGGGTAACTGGAAATAAGAGCCTCAATGACTTTTCTGCTCTTGCTGGCAGATCCTCAGATCTCAGCCTCCTGAGGATCTCAACCTCCTAGGATTACAAGTATGAGCCACTGGTGCCTAGCTCCCTCAGTATCTTATATGGTATTTGAAATCATGCAATCAATAGCTTGAATATCAAATAGTCGTAATGTCAAGGAGACAGACTTTTAAAAACAGTGGTGATGAAATCTGTTCAGCAGTGACCTTTGGTAATAATTTAAAGGAGTAGAAGGAATAGGGACTTGCTCAGGGATTCCCTAGGAAAGAAGGCAGACCTTGAAGCAGAAGTAGGACTGCTGCTGCCGAATGGAATGGGTCAGGACAAGTCGGAGGGAAAAAGATGAAAGAACACTAAACAAGAGTGGGTTTTAAAGGATGGCAGACTCTGGCTTGTGTGTGGAGCAAGTGGTGGGGGAAACCATTAGAGGGTTTAAATCAAAGATGAAGTACATAGCATGTTCGCATCATAAGGGAAGTGGGAATTTAAACACCAATTCAGTGATTTAGTCCATAGCATGCATAGACTCGGCAGTAAAATATTTATATTGGTAGGATTTGGAGATGGATGGTATTCAAAGAGCACAAGGATTGGACAAAACATTTAAAGCTTATCTTCACAATATGTAAAAAATATATATTGGGATTATATACATTGTTTAGATTCTTCAAAATTATTGCACCAAATAGTCAATATCTGCCTCGAGTTCCAGGAAGTTTAAAGCATATACAAATGGTGTGTTTTCACTTAGCAATAAAGGAAAAAAGTATTAGAAAGGTGTTTGTGAACCCCAAGTTGAAATAAAGTGAGCACATGTGGGGCTACTGAAATATTCCTGTTCCAAAGATTTAGATTTAAATCTAAGACTTATTAAAATAAACTCAATAGTAATAGTATAAACAACATACCAGGGTATCAAAGAAGTTGTGAACACCATGTAGAATATATAAGAATAATGCATTAGAATAATAAAAGTATCCCTAGCTTTCCCAACATAATAAATTTCAGTATTTCCGAAGTATAGTTTATATTTCAGAGTATAATGTCAGGGGGATGCTTGTTTTCCGGTTTTCTAGGTTGAAATTGGACCCATGAGATACATGATGATGTTTCAATTAATAGATAGGAAGCTTGTTGGAATGAAACTCAATATATGAATATGAGTTAAGGCCAGAGTAAGTCACATGAGGGCTCTAATACATGTTTTCTTTCTCCTCAACATCTCTGATTTCATCTCCCTTATAGCTAATTAACAATGCCAAGGAAATTTTTCTGTCAATGAGCTGTCATCTATCATCAGAAAAATATATATTTAAATATTTGTCTATGACAGATATGTATTTTTTTTCTTAGCATTGATCTGGATTTCTTCTATGTACATTATTTTGGGGTTGAAGAAAAGGGTATTAAAGATGTTGACCATAACAATGAGGCTATTGGATGTTGAAGATTTTGCAACAGATTTAACATTATTCTAGCTCAAGAAAAATTAAAATATCATTTAGCATTATTTTATAAAGGGTCATAAGAATAAGAAACAGAGATTATTTGAGAACAAAATGTCAGAAGTAAAAAAGATTAGACTAATTTTCCAGATGAAGAAATAAAATAAAGCTTGTTGTCTTGCCAATTGCATATGGCTGACCAGTGTCAGGTCTGGGTCAAGTCTGCTTATCTTATTTTCAGCATCGGGCTCTGGAATGTTCTACAAGATCAGAGCTCTGAAAAGCATCAACTAAGAACTGGTAGATGTTATGATTCATTATCAAAAGCCCTTAAACTAAAGTGACCTGTCCAGCTCCACACATGCATTTAATATAAAATAGGGTCATGAATGTAAGAATGGGAAAGGGCCATGGCGAAGGTAGTCCAACTCTCACGTTTAGATAAGAAACATGTTCAGTAAGACTTTCATGTTCCAGCTGAATTCTGGATTTAGTTAGTTTCTTTTTAAAGTGGACATAACTTTCTAACAGTACTCTTCTGTACATGATTAGAGCCTAGATTTGTTTGACATGAGTTTTTGAATTATGCCAGTTTATCTTCATTGCTATTAAAACAAAAATGTCTGTTTTGTAATTTTTTTTAAAGTCAGGTTTTTCTGGTAGCAATCTCAGAATCCTGACTGTGAGCCACTTCTACCACTTTAGCCAACCAGCCATTTAAAACATAAACTTTGGGATTAGAAAAATAAAGAAGCCAAAGGAAAAGAAGCAATATTTGGTTGGGTTGGCTGGGCTTTTTTTGCTTCTTGAGCATTCAAGTGGGCAATTTGTAAAATTTTACTTGCTTTGATCTTAACGGCCCACACTACCAAGTTGCAGGCACAAATGATTTGTCCATCCCTCCATCCACAGACTTTGAAGGACATAGAAAAAAATCTAGTCTATTGTGAACTTTGCAACAGAAAGTGCCTAGAATTATTGCTGCTGCTAACTTGGACCATATAAGACAAGGAAGCTCCAGCCAGAGCTGCCCAAGCCACCCACCCTGCCAGAACTCCAGGTCCTGCCAACATCATTTTCTGAATGATGAATCTCCCCAGGCGTGTCCACTGGCACACCCTAGGAAGATTAGGAACACCCAATCAGGGATCAATTAATAGAGGAAAAGAACCCAAGACAGTTTTCTATTTTACTTGGCATGATGGATGATAACCACGAAATGGCCCTGGTTATTTTGTGAATCAGATTGCTGTCAAATCCATGTATTTTTTTTTTATTTGGATACACTTCAATGACTGTACTGTTCTTTGCTAAGAACCGTTTGATGTTTAAAAAACTTGAAGTCATTCAGACTACTTTCTCTCCCTATTTTCATGTAAGAGTTTGCATTTTCTCCACCACAAAGAGAATGCCAAGAGCTCTGAGTTCACTTTGAAAGCCCAAACCCACACATTCTAGATTCTCAGCAAGGCCAGACACGTTCTCCAGAGCTCCAGATCTTGCATCAAATGGGACAGTATTATGTCATAATGAGAGTATATATTGCAGGGTGATCACCTACATTCAAATCTCTTGGCTGAAAATTGTTTTGTTATATTAAGTTTTAGTTTACTTGATCTTCCAGTGGGACAATAAGAATACTAACTTCCTTGTAATACTGTATGTAGAGCATTGTGAAGCTCGACATGTTTGCAAGAAAATTGGAAGAACATTATTTTTGGTAAGGTTAGTTTTCAGGGGGCATTTCTTTTCATTATTAATAAAGAGAAAATACCTTTAATCAAAGAACCAAATAAATAATTATGCAATGTCACACATTTTGCAAGCATGAAATTAAACTGTACACAATCTGTCTCTTGAATTCTTTAATGAGAAAGCGTTCTTGTACATTCCAAAATCAGATTCTCTCTTTAATTCCAGGACTTCATATATGTCTTAATATGTAGTCTACCCAAAGTGGGGATTCTACTTTGGAGCAGTCTAGTTTGTTTAAGGGTGTAGTGAGAAGAGGGTTATGAAACCCGGAAAGTGCTATGTTACCATAAACAATCTGGACACCCTCAGAATTTACAGCAGCAGCACCCATCTGTTGAGACATAGATTCAATTCTATTGAGAATGAAGCGTGACAATTATTGTGAATGATGGGGCAAGTGAGAAGTTCCCTACCTCTACTCTATCATATTTCATATTTATATCCAATGCATGAGGTAGATATTACTCAGTTTTCCAGATGAAGAGACACATTCTGAGTTTTAATAACTCAAATTGAGTTATTAAATGGGGAATCTGGGAGGCTGCAAGTTTGACACTAGTGCATGTGTTCACCTATTCTGTGCAATAAAAAATATTGCAGCAAGCTAATGTCATCCTCCACTGACATCACTTGAGATCCTGTTTGCTCAAGGTGTCTATAAAACTAAATCTTGTGTGAATCTTCGCACTACCATTGTGTGGCTAAGGCCATCACATCCCCTCTCTGATGCTTTCTATTAAAGAGGAAGAGCAATCTCGGTGCCCAGAGGGTTGTTTTGAGGATTCTGTGAAAGTACTTTACAGATTAGAATTACGTTACTTCATAATTCTATCATAGAAAAGGCAAAAGTTTTGAAATGAGAGATTGGGAATCTGAGTACAAATATTTATAAGGGAGTTCAGATCATAAACTCTTTCATAACCAACTTGACATATTTCTAAATTTCTAAACAAAGTTGTTTTCTGTTTTGTTCCTTTTAAAGGTTTACTTCACAAGCATGTGATACTTACTTATGCCAGGCATGTTTTCATGTGTAGAGAATGAAAAGTCAGAAATAACATTCAAATTACTAAGATATTACTAGTCAAATTACTAAGAAATCTAGGGTCACAAATGATGTCTAGGAAATAGTGATGATGAAATTTGGTTTTGCAAGTCTGTCTTCTTAAAAGTAACTACTTGGGGAAAAGGAAGAGATAACCACCTCTGCACTTTATTTGCTATCAAGTCATTATTTAGCAATGTGAGTGTTTTTAACTTAGCTTTGATTGTGTGTCCAGACTGTCATAAGGACCTACACTCATTTATAGATACACACCTCTGTCTTCCCGAAAGCTGTGAAACACTGAAATCTTCAAAACCATTAAGATTGTTAGCATGGCTACAGATAAGCAGAATAAACAAATCCCCTTCTAAGCAGCCACTAGCTCTTCTGCCTTTGCAGGCATTTGAAGTTCAAGGAAGTCATAAGGCTCAAAATCTGTTCTTCTAAATGGAAAGATTTTCTCCCCTAATGGTTTTGTTGCTTTTGAGTTGTTTCTGGTGTTTCTCACAGACATAAAAGAGAGGATGCTTTTATGATCGCTATGGATAACCTTCCATTGTTCTTTGATGTGTCAATCTTTTCACTTCTATGTCATTTTTTACCCATCTTTATATATACATATATATAAAATATCTTCTCATACTAAATAATCAGCATGTCTGTGTAACTACAGGTTGGAAATATATTTCTAATTTTCATGGGAGGGTTGAGGAAGATTTTCTTATGAACTCACTAGTGTGGATATTTTCCTTTAATCCAGTGGTTCTCATGAGTGATTTTGACCATGGGGGACATTGGGTCATGTATATTTTTCTCAGGAGCACTGCTGGACTCCGTGGCGTGTAGATGCCATAGCTGCTCAGAGAAGGTTGCTCATTTTCTGCAAATTTACTTATTTTATCAGCAACGAATGAGAAACCTAAGCTCCCTACCCATCATACTTTAATTTTGGACAGTGAAACAAATATGAATTTTTTGCCTTTGTTGACTCATTTTATAGGCTTTGTTTCCTTTAAACACTTTTTGTGTATGGATGGGAAGGACATCATAATTCATTGTTTAAGATTTTTAAAGGGTTACAAGGGAAGTCACATAGGAAGACAGCAAAATAAACAAAATGCAAACTCCACATTTGATTAATCAGTGTAGTCCTCACATCTTCTCCAGAATCGTTAAGCTTTTTTCTCACATTAGCACAATTTGTTCATATTATTCTACTAATTCTGTCCTTGACTCAAGGTATAGTTATGTGTAGATGAACACAAGAATAAGTGGTTGCTTCTTCCTCAATTGAGCTTCATGAATTACATCATTTTATGCTTCCTTATCATTAGAAAAGACACATATATGTACATAGTTTAGCTGTACACATATTACTTAGAATGTACATAGTGACTCCAACTAAATTTAAACACTTTAAAAGTAACATACTCTATGTATTTTCAGTTTTCTCATAACACCTATGTAGTGAACTGGCACTTTATAGACACTCAACAGAGTTGGTTTGATTAGTGGATATTGGCAGATTTTTCTTTCTTATGAAATTGGAGATCACAGTAAAAATAAGATGCATAAACACTTATCATTCATAAGTGTATCTACTTTATCATAAATTAAACCATTCAGTGTCCTTTTTTAATTTTTCCACTGTAATCTGGATACCTCTTTTAACAGTCATTCATTGATATTGACAAACGATTGGTTTCAGGATCTCTGTTGATTCCACAATTTTGTATGTATACAAGGCTCTTATGTATTGATAATATTTATATGTAACCTATGAATATCCTTCTGTATGCTTTAAACAATTTCAAAATTACTCAAAATTCTAAACACAATATAAATACTCCATAAATTTTTGCTCTACTATATGCCATACTGTATGTAATTAAAAACATATTTGGACCCATGCTGGTTGAGTTCACAGAGATACAAAAAGCCAAGTGCACCAGAAAATAATACCAATTATTTTGTAAGCTAAATCTAGAAATACAGAGAGCCATGGTTTCTCAGATTAACCTGTTTAGATTTCCTACATAGTTCCCACAGAATGTTCCTTCTCATTAATGAAAACTCAGGAGGGAGAGAGATGGAGGGTGAGAGGTGAGGAAAGATAAGAATTTAGATGTGTTTCTCCCAGGGAAGTAAGTGCTGGGAGACTTTGACCTAGACCTCAGAAGCTTATCTCACATACTTGTTAATCATGTGGAAGAGAAAGCTCACAGATTTTAAACTGTTAATTGCACCACAAACCACATATGTGAGAGGGTAGCAATGAAACATGAAAGCAAAACATCAAGCTTGGCAAGTCTGCATTTGGTTTTGTAAGCTTTCTTTAGCCATGTTCATACCATGGAGAACAAATCAAAATACAATGAGGTAAACATTCTATACAGTCATGCGATGAGATCACAGTTAAATACTAACATATTTCTTCCCAGTATTCCCTGGAAAGTGTTTTTACCTATCACTTTGCAGTTCTCAAGTAGCTTTACTCTTCCCTTCACAGCACTAAAAATTCTTCCAAACTGTTCAAATTTTCTTTTCCAAACAAAACACAAAATTATATATTGCAGATGTGAATTCTTTAGATTAAAAATAGGATCATAGTTTAGGCTTAAAGATAAAGTTGAACAGTCAAGACGTTTTCAGACAATACTTTATCAAATCTATATCATGCAATATTCCCAATGTGCTTACATTGCTGCCCATGATGCAAAATAACTCTTGCTGAATGATTTTGCTCTTGAGACGATCAATTCATTTTTAAGACTCTCTCCCCAATATTAACCTGAAAGTAAGCTTAATTTTACTACAGGGATGGAGTATGATATATCTAAAGAAGAGATTTTATATTTTGAAAATACCAATTACATCTATCTCAAACAAATGCATTCCTCAAATACAAGAACAATATGTAAGAGGTACATGGTAGGTCAAGCATATTTCATATAAATCATATGTAACCATAAGCCACAGAAGAATAATCAGTGTGTAATTGAATCACTTAATAATGCAACCAATTGACTGGATGACCTTCGATATTTGGATTTGATTTACTGACAGCCAGAATCAGAATTGCTTCTTTAAAATAATTCAACATCTCACTTTAGCGCTTTCATTTGCTTCTCTGATGGTTCAAGTAGAAAATCCTTTAAAATGATAACTTGTAGCCTGGTAACTGATTTATAGCACAACTACTTATATTACATATATTATTGTATTATTTCTAGTATATTTATTTCCTACAAAACAATCTATTTGTATATTGAGGAAATAAGAATGCTACCATGCAATTGCAAATCAAGTTCTCAAACTAAAATTTGCTCCAAATTTACTTGCTATAATTCAAAATTTATGATAGCTTGCTCTTCTTTATTTCATTTGATTTATTATTGTTGTGACTTACACATACCATAAAGGCCTAGAGAATTACTGAACCTCTAGATAGGCTGTTTTCCATACTAATGTTCACAATACAAAACTTGATTTGAATTATTTATTTGTGTTAAATAAGAACAAGTTGTTAATGGGAGACTTATCGAATGTGAAATTATCTCCCACTGATTTTCATAAGATTTGGTTGCTGGAGGTGGCAGTGTCCAGTGACTCAGTAACTGAAAAAAATCATTGATGATCTGATGTAGAAGACAACAAGGTTGATAACAATGTTATCAACTTTCCTGGCTCTTAGGTAAAGACAAAAGGCCCTGGCAGTGAGATTCCCACATGTTTAAGTGTTTGCTGTAAAAATACAATATTTTTTTTTCTGAGCTCTCTCTCTCTATATATATACAACCTCCCCATTAGTCACCTCATACATTTTATTATCACTTCATACTTTATTTTCTTCCTTTGACCTCAAAAGATTCTTAAGTAATTTTAAA